GTTAACCAGATCTTTCTTGCACTTCATTAGTAAATGCAGGTATTTTGTACCGTAAACAAAACAAATAAATTGGTGGTGTTCGACCTTTCATCAGAGTGCTCGGAATATTCCAACATAAAGGGGGACCACTGCCCATGCATCATAGTGTTTAAAAAAAGGAAAAAAGAATTTAAAGTACTGTTGATAAAATACATCTCAAGTAATCAATGAAACCAAATTATGTAAAAAAATATTTGTTTTCGGCCAATGCTTTGATATCTTATATATAACTCAATATAATTCAAATTAGACTGTTAACAAAAATATTTAAAACTAAACTTTCCAATAATATAAGTAAAGATATTGCCAGACTCAAACTAAGTTATTTGAACTATTGTTCCAAAATCAAACTAAGTAAAGTTATGATATTTCAAGTACTCTTCAAGACTCAAACTAAGTAAAGATATTTCAAGTATTGTTCCAGACTCAAACTAAGTTATGATATTTCAATTATTGTTCCAGACTCAAACTAAGCTATGATATTTCAACTAATCTTTAAGACTCAAACTAAGTAAAGATATTTCAAGTATTGTTCCAGACTCAATCTAAGTTATAATATTTCAAGTATTGTTCCAGACTCAAACTAAGATATATAAATTATTGTTCAAAAATCAAACTAAGTAAAGTTATGATATTCAAGTATTCTCTAAGACTCAAACTAAGTTAAGATGTTTCAGGTATTCTTCAAGACTCAAACCAAGTTATGATATTTCAAGTGTGGTTCCAGACTCAAACTAAGTTAAGATACGTCAAGTGTTTTTTCCAGACTCAAACTAGGGTAGGATATTTCAAGTATTGTTCCAGACGCAAACTAATATATTTAAATTATTGTTCCAAACTCAAACTTAGTAAAGTTATGATACTTCATATTTCAAGTATTCTTCAAGACTCAAACTAAGTCAAGCTGTTTCAGGTATTGTCCTAGACTCAAACTTAGATATTTGAATTATTGTTCCAGACTCAAACTAAATTAAGAAATTTCAAGTATTCTTCTAGACTAAAACTAAGTTAAGATGTTTCAAGTATTCTTCAAGACCCAAACTAAGTTAAAATATTTCAAGTGTGGTTCCAGACTCAAACTAAGATATTTGAATTATTGTTCCAGACTCAAACTAAATTAAGAAATTTCAAGTATTCTTCTAGACTAAAACTCAGTTAAGATGTTTCAAGTATTCTTCAAGACTCAAACTTAGTTTAGATATTTGCAGTATTGTTCAAGACTCAGACTAAGTAAAGATATTTCAAGTATTGTTCAAGACCCAAACTTAGTTAAGATATTTCAAGTGTGGTTCCAGACTCAAACTAAGATATTTAAATTATTGTTCCAAACTCAAACTTAGTAAAGTTATGATATTTCAAGTATTCTTCCAGACTAAAACTAAGTTAAGATGTTTCAAGTATTCTTCAAGACTCAGACTTAGTTAAGATATTTCTAGTGTTGTTCCAGACTCAAACTTAGTTAAGATGTTTCAATTATTATTCCAGACTCAAACTAGGTTAAGACTCAAATTAAGTTAAGATATTTCTAGTATTGTTTCAGATCAAGCTCAGTTAAGATGTTTTCAGTATTGTTTCAGACTCACACTAAGTAAAGGTATTTGAAGTATTGTTCAAGACTCAAACTAAGTTAAGATATTTCAAGTATTGTTTCAGACTCACACTAAGTAAAGGTATTTCAAGTATTGTTCAAAACTCAAACTAAGTTAAGATATTTCATGTATTGTTCCAGACTCAACTAAGTAAAGATATTTCAAGTATTGTTCCAAATTCAAACTAAGTTAAGATATTTTAAGTGTTGTTCCAGACTCAAACTAAGTTTAGCTAGTTCAAGTGTTGTTCCAGACACAAGCTAAGTTAAAATATTTCAAATATTGATTCAGACTCAAACTAAGTCAAGATATTTCATGTATTGCTCCAGACTCAAACTAAGTTAAGATATTTCAAGTATTGTTCCAGATTCAAACTAAGTTAAGTCAAGTATTGTTCAAGACTCAAGGTAAGATAAGATATTTCAAGTATTTTTCCAGACTTAAGCTTATTTAAGATATTTCAATTATTGATCAGATTCAAACTAAGTTAAGACTCAAATTAAGTCGATATTTCAAATATTTTTCCAGACACAAGGTAAGTTAAGAAATTTCAAGTGTTGTTCCAGATTCAAACTCAGTTAAAATATTTCAAGTATTGTTCCAGACTCAAGCTAAGTAAAGATTTTTCAAGTGTTGTCCCAGACTCAAACTCAGTTAGATTGTATTAAGTATTCTTCAAGTTAAGATATTTCAATTTTGTTCCAGACTCAAACTTAGTTTAGATATTTTGATTATTATTCCAGATTCAAACTAAGTTAAGACTCAAATTAAGTAAAGATATTTCAAATGTTGTTGCAGACACAAGCTAAGTTAAGAAATTTCAAATGTTCTTCCAGACTCGAACTCAGTTTAAATATTTCAAGTATTGTTCCAGACTCAAGCTTTGTTAAGATATTTCAAGTTTTGTCCCAGCCTCAAACTCAGTTAAGATATTTCAAGTATTGTTCCAAACTCAAACTCAGTTAAGATGTTTCAAGTATTGTTCAAGACTCAAACTCAGTTAAGATATTTCAAGTATTGTTCCAAACTCAAACTTAGTTAAGATGTTTCAAGAATTGTTCCAAACTCAAACTTAGTTAAGATGTTTCAAGTATTGTTCAAGACTCAAACTAAGTTCAGACATTTCATGTATTGTCCCAGACTCAAACTAAGTAAAGATATTTCAAGTATTGTTCAAGACTCAAACTAAGTTAAGATAATTCAAGTGTTGTTCCAGACACAAGCTAAGTTAAAAGATTTCAAATATTGATTCAGACTCAAACTAAGTCAAGATATTTCAAGTATTGTTCCAGACTCAAACTAAGTCAAGATATTTCAAGAATTGTTCAAGACAAGCTTAGATAAGATATTTCAAGTATTTTTCCAGACTTAAGCTAATTTTAGATATTTCAATTACTGTCCAGACTCAAACTAAGTTAAGATTTTTATAGTATTGTTCAAAACTCAAACTTTGTTAGGATATTTTAATTATTGTTCAAGACACAATTAAGTTAAGATATTTCAATTATTCTTCATAACTCAACTTATGTTAAGATATTTTAAGTTTTGTGCCAGGCTTAAACTAAGTTAAGATATTTCAAGTGATTTTCCAGACACATGCTAAATTATTTCTAGTAGTGGTCTGCATAAAAACTAAGCTTTTTTTCATTTATATACGTTTAGATAGTAAAGCAGTTCCCACGACACAAGTTAATTTCAATTTTTGTCCCAAATATTAACAAATACATTAATGTTTCAAACTATGAAAGGACATCGTTAGAATTATTTAGAATTTTAAGGATGTTGAGAGTTTTTTCAAAAATATTGTCCACAACTGAAAACGATTTTAACAAATCTGTTTAAAGAAATATTTACGAAAGCAAAGAAGTTTCCAAGATACAAGATAGATTTAAAATGTCAAATGTTGTTCTTTAAAATATTCTCTAGTATACAAAATTTTAATGTTTTACCCTCTGTTTACCCGTGACACAAATTATAGCCAACTATTTTAAATAATACTTTAAAAAAATCGTGATTCTATTAAGTAAAGATACTAGGTCTATAGTATTTTCATATTTTTATATGTAGTTAGTGAAAAGATTGTAATCAAAGCATTCATCATTAAATCTACCCTAAAATTGGTTGAAATATTTCAAGTTCTGTATACTTGTAAAAAAGAAGTATCCAATTTTGACTATTGTGTGTTCCTTTAAATTGTGTTTGATGTTAAATTTAATATTGCAGAAGAATTTTTTTATGACCAAAGGGAGACCACTCTTGCACGGTGTAACCTCCCCTGAAAATTGAAATGACGTCAAAGACCAAAGGGCGACTACTCTCCCTATATTGATAATTAAACATTATGCCTTTTGCGGCTAAATTTTCACAACCAAATGTTACTTTTGATTGATATTTGTTGGAAGTTTTACAGTAGCATTATGAAAGTCATTTTCCCCAAAAGTTAATGTTAGTACCAAAGATGTGTGAGAGTTATCAGTTAGAAAAAAATAACAAGTGGTAATGGATTGTAAACTGACGGGAAAATGACATTTTATCATTTTATACTTGGTTTAAACAATATTTATTTCTTCATCAATATTTACAGACAAAATTACAATATATTTATTGCATTTAGGATTGAGTAGAAAGCTTGGAGCATATATGAAACTCTCTCCTGTAAAAACATATTAACAATTTTTTTTAGTAAAAACATGACATAGTTTTTGTAGCAACAGTTCATTGTACCTGCATTTAATTCCTTCCATATATTTACAAGAAGATAATAAATACCTACTACGTATGACGTAATTTGTAAAGGATCATAAAGAGGAGCTGAACATGTCAAGTGTGTAATGCAATGCCTATATCAACTCGACATGGGAGAAAGGGAGATAAATAGGCAAAAGGAAAAAAAGAGATCAGAATGGAGACAAAAGTGGAGAAGAAGGGGGGAAAGGGGGTTACTGTGATATAATGGAAAGTGTAGGTCCTATTTAAGAAAATTACAAGAATTAAATCATTTTATACTTGTTTTAATGAAGAGAAGTCTCCTTTGGTCCGTATCATTTGAATTTTCAGGGGAGATCAATCTGTATTTTAAAACAAGTAGCCTCCCTTTTCGCTTGATGTAATTTGCAAAACAATAAATAAATATAAATTAATTAATTAATTAATTAATTAAAAAGAAAAACTTTAAAAAAATAAAACAGGCAAGTAAAGTTAAAGAAATTGACAGAATAACGTATCAAAAGTGAAAAAAAATAAGCTAAATGATGCTAGCCCCACCCCCTTTTTTAGCTTTTTTGTCAGATCATATAAAAATTGAAAACAACAACAATAAAAAAATCAACAAAAAAAACAAGCATAAACGCATGCATCGTTGGATACCCACGTTTGATAAACATGTAATCAAGATGAATGTTAATGGTTAGGCAGTGGATATCAGTGGCTATCCGGCAATGAAGCTTGGAAATGAAAATGATAAAGTAACCCTTTGTGACTCCTTATTTAAAGCATTTAAAAAAAATGAAACAAATGATACTTCTAAATATAAAGGAACACATTATATCATGTATATGGTTGATAATATTATCGGAAGCGGACTTGTATTTCATTATTTTTGTTTTCATTTTATTTCATTATTGTTTATTTCATTTCATTTTGTTGTTTTTATTTTATTTTATTCATAGTTTTATTTCATTCTTTTATTCCATTATTGTTCTTCTGGTCGTTATTACAATTACTTTAATATTTAATTTCATTTTTTCACCATTGCATGTGTTTGAATGATAAAATATTTCATCGTTGGAGTTTTCATTATGTTTCATTAATGTTGTTTTTGGTGGTAGTGGTGATATTCTTGGTGGTATTATTATTATCTAAATCTTAAGAAATTTCAAATGGATGTTTCTATCATGACGTTGTTAAATTATCATTATTTCTCATTGTACGGCCTAGTATGTCTTTATTAACTATTAAATGTTACATATTACACTTCTTGAAATATACATTGTAAAAATGCTCATCATTCATTTCTGCAATTTTACTATTGCCATTATGTTAACGGTACAGTATGTTTGCATATATATATTAAGTCTTAATAAATGTAAATACATTCCTGATCAAATTTTACTTATCACACCAATTGAAATATACATTGCAAAAAAGTGCATTATTCATTATTGCAATTATACTCATTATTGCCATTACAATACATTGACGGTACAGTATGTTGGTAAATAGAAGATGTACAATGCAAAAAGCAAATAAAATATCCCTTCTATTCTGTTCACATCACGGCATTTATGAAGGTATTATTTTTTCAAGCTCATGTAGAAAATCCAATCTAGCTAACATCCTTTATGGTTTTTATTACTACGCCAAAAACTTATCACTTCATAATTGCCATAAATATTAGACAGTTACATCTTAATATATTTCTTAAACTTGGCAGAAAAAAACACCATTCAGAAGTTGAACATGACATTTTAGAAAGATACCAAATCGTATCAGGTGGATTAAAATCTCTTTGTCAAATATGTTGTAACAGCATGCAGTAGTTCCAAACCGGAAGCATAGTTATTCTGCTGACTGTAAAGAGGGTGGTGTTTTCTTCGTTCCTTCACCCGCTCAATTTACCATGTTCCGTATTTCTGAAATGTAAAGATCACTGATACACCTGCATTGTAAAAATTATATTCACCTTAGAATCAACTGTTTTTCGTTAAAGGCACATTATGCCTCAGAAGTTAATAATTTTTTTCTACATTAGGTCGTGCAAACATGAGTATTAAATAATGCTTTAAAAAAAGCATGTTAGATGCTTATTAGCAAAATAAAGTATTGCTGAATGTGAAAATATTTGTTTTAAAGGTCGCGAAATGTAAACACAGTAGTATTTTAACTTCCACACAAAATACTAAATCACTAAAACTGTTTTCAAAAAGCAAAAGATTATTCAGATAAATGATCAATGAATTTCTGTTTTGAAACTATAATAGGACACCAAATAATATGCCAATGAGCCAGTCTATAGTCGATCGTTCTAAAACTTAACGGTTGAGAGAGGTAACAACTGAGGCAGTGTCACTCACTTCATTTGCTCCGCCTCTGTTGAAGTTTGCCTCCGTCTTAAATTGTCGCCAAATGTAATATGATGCTCCGTATGCTAGCATTTAGTCTTCGTTGACGGGGCGGAAGGGAACCAGGAAAACTTTGATCAATATTACTTGTCGAATCATTAAATTACAAGCTACAAAGCCTAAACCACGCCAACTATCAGAGAGGCGGTTCTGTCCCAACCGTTAAGAAAGTATGCCAAACTCTGCGCACCGGTTACACTACGTCATACGGTCAGTAAGGGGAGATCACTGCAGAACTGTTCGTCCTCAAAATCATTCAAACATTATGCAATTCACACCAATATTTAAATAGACAGTCATATTCTCGGCACATAATTATCTTGAATTTATTTTAAGTATTCCAATCATTTCAATTTTACTTGTTATACAACTTATTTGGCTTTGACCAGACGTTTCAATCTTTGTCACAACAGACAAACATTTCAAAATTTCAGACATGGCAATCCCTTGTGAATTTATGCATTAGGTTCTACTTTTTCACAAATAAATGCAACTTAATTATTAAACAACGAGCACATACCAAGAACATGGAGAAAAAAATGATTTGTGCTTCGAATATTCAACTGTAATAGAAAGCGATTTTCAATGCTGATTGATTGTTCTCATCATTTGGCAGCGTCTTTGATGTGCAGCATCAACATTTAACTTGTATAATGTATAAAATATTCACATCACTTGTAACGCTTTGCGTTTCACTTGCAAAAGACAGCAGACGCACGGGTTGAACCACCAAATTAAAAAAAAAAACAATGTTATCATTACTCTTATTCAAAAATGCACATAATAGAATTCAGGAATACAACAAACAAATAATTACGTCTTACTCAAATAGTGGTCATAAAGCTTTTATTCACTTGATGTCATTAAACGATTCTCTTATTATTTCTAGTATATTCTTAACTGCAATGGTTCAATTATTCTGGTTGGGTTTAACCCTTTACCTATTGGTCCGTGCACTCCGTGCCCAGGCTATATATTATCGTCTGCTCAAATTTGTATTTTGTTATTGAAATCCCATAAACTTCAAATGGACTGTTCCAAATTCAATGCAGGGCAGATCCATTACACTAATTTAGTAGGTGAATGGTTACTGTCTCGACGGTACTTATCAAGAAAACAATAATAATTTTTCAGCTTTACTGGCGGAAGAAGGTCCAAAATACACGGGGGGGAATCACGTGACTTTGTATAGTAATACCCACGAGAAAATGGCTACTGCTGAGCCCCGGTAAGTACCTTATTATGTTAAATTAAGGTGACAAACGTTTCTTAAATCAAAACAAAACCTAGCGTATCATATGCGCGATAATTTTCTTCAAATGACATACAAAGTGCATTATCCTACGTTTTGTGGTTTTTGAGAACATTGTTTGAATTGGCTGAAAATTGCACATTCAGCGATAGTAATTCGCACGAAGCGATATAACTTGGTACCAAAATAAAGGAAAATAAGCCTTCTTTTTGCACTTAAGACACCAAATCAATCATTTTATTGACATCTGTCATCGTAGAAGTTCATATAAAATTTTGTTTGAAGGTCTGTAGTCTACAAATGTTCATTGCAAGTGTATAGTAAGTAAAACGAACAATTTCTGGATAGTAAGTTACACGAAAACAAAATAGTAAGTTTCACGCATAGTTTCCAATAGCTTGCTAAAATGTGACGAAACTATTTTATAATTATTTGGTTTCAAATTTGCAAGTGTGTTCCGTCTACGGTGACAGAGATACAAATATCGAGAGAGTATTTTAATAATAATTCATATTATTTCATAATACATGTATTCAAATTCATATAATTTCATTAAAGATTACTTAACTTAAAAAAAACTAAATGAGACATTGACATTGATACTCAACAATGTACGTTACACTTGGCCCCTTTTCACGTTAGACTGGACCCACATCCGTTATCCTTAGAACTAGCTATATAAAGAAATAACTGTACACAACACCATCATTTACTTTTCAGTACCTGCAATTTGGACAAAAAACGCAAAGAGAAGACATTCGCCATATCACATTGATATTTAATGCCATCAAAGAACTGGTATACCAAGTTTTTATTAAATTTATTCTTTTATACACTGGCAGATTTTATAAATTAACCCAAGAAGTTTTGTTAAAACGTTACGTTTTACTATACGTTTATTTTCTTACCATGTGCAAATGTGTTGCGTCGTAAACTATTACTTTTTGTTTGTGATAAAGTAAGTAAATAAGATATTCAGGGCGTCCATGGTCGAGTGTTTAATATCCCTGATTTTTATACACATGCTTCTCACTGCTATGGATTCTAGTCCGACCAGAGTCCTTGAATTCTTTCATCAAACTAGGGTGTCCCGACATTGACGGTGTGATTTGAAACCCAGCATCTAAGATTGTTTTATGTCAATATTTTTTTTAACTCCACTTGCCTTCACTTTAAAAAGTGTAAATATCTTTGACCGTTTGATTTCAAATATTCGTTTTTATTTAAAGGTCAATTATGCCTCTTAAATGCTATCATTTTTATTTTAAAAAAAATTTTGTTTATTTTTGGTATCTTGTTACAGTTTCCGAAAACATACTCATTTGCTAGATACTTAAACTACCTTTTGCATCTTTGGTTCTGTTGGAAAATGGTATACCTTTAGTGAATAAGTATTTCGTATGGAAGTCAAAATACTACTTTGTTTACATTTTGCTACCTTAACGACACATCACTTAATGTTCAGCGCTACCTTTTTCAGTTGTAATAAAATTCTATCATGCGTTTTATCCATTATTTAAACATTATGAAACACATGTTTGACATTTCTAAAGAATTAAAACAATATGGATTTCTGAGACACAATGTGCCTTAATCATAACTTGTATCACTGTATCATTGTTGTTTTTTTGTCTTTCTTTTTTTTTGTAAGAAGTTATTTTGTTCTTGCGAATTCTTCAATATATTTTCATAAATTAAGTAGCATAGTGACTAAATGTAACAAATACCGCCATATAAAAACATCAGCATTCAGTTAATAATAATCACCATACCAATTAGCAAGCAATTATATTTTCTAATTACAGTAAAATGAGGGCCAAGACACACCTCAAACTGCAGAGGTCAAAGAACTACTATCGCAACAGAAAAATAACACTGAGCTGTGTAATATCAAATCCCATCAAAAGTTCATTTGATATATTATGATTACAACCAATTAAGCATTCGTTCTATAGACAAAAAGTGAAATATTTGATCTTGAATAATTGAAATAAATATTTTCTATCTCTTTACATATGGACTTTAACTTTCTTTTAATGTATATGTATGTATGCTAATGGAAACTGTGCGTGAAACTTACTATTTTGTTTTCGTGCGACTTACTATCCAGAAATTGTTCGTTTTACTTACTATACACTTGCAAAGAACATTTGTAGGCTACATACCTTCGATAATATATTTTATATGGACTTCTACGATAACAGATGTTAATAAAATGATTGATTTTGTGTCTTCAGTGCAGAAAGTAAGCTTATTTTCCTTTATTTTGGTACCAAATTATATCGCTTCGTGCGAATTACTATCGCTAAATGTGCAATTTTCAACCAATTCAAACAATGTTCTCAAAAACCACAAAACGTTGGATAATGCACTTTGTATTGTCATTTGAAGAAAATTAACGCGCATATGATACGCTAGGTTTTGTTTTGATGTAAGAAACGTTTGTCACCTTAATTTAACATCATAAGGTACTTACCGGGGCTCAGCAGTAGCCATTTTCTCGTGGGTATTACTATACAAAGTCACGTGATTCCCCCCCGTGAAATAGCCCTCTATAAATTATTTTAGACAAGGTGGGGCACTCGAGTAGAACCACCAATTTTCTCTGCCAATTAAGCTAGCTGTGGATCACCTCTGTGGATCATCTCTGCACATGAAACTATTCATGAATTCAAAGTCGCTGCCCATAATAGTGAAAGAAAGGGGGGGGGTGAAAATGATTTGAAGTCAATGAATTCATTCAACCACTCGGTAACGGACGCCCTTTATTATAACTAAAACTTTTTTTAGTTTTATCAAATTTTAATAATGAAGAAAAATGTTCGATACCAGTGTAGGTGTACATGTATTTACTTAGCCAAAGCAATTCATGACTGAATAACAACAACAAAGGTAACTGCTTCTGTGTTAAGCAAAGAAAAAATATTTTATCAAACCCGAACATGAAACAATTCACAATGCCGTACTGTTTCAGAACCAAATGAATACACGTCTCATTCAAGAGCTATAAACAAGCATTAAAGCTGCACGCCTTCAGATGAACCAAAAATATTTCAAGAAAAAATGTACTCAGATTTTAAGAGAAGTAAAAAGATTTAAGATTCAAGTAATTAATTATGTGTTAAATGTCTTTAACGACCTAAGTTGCAGTACTTATTTCCATATTTCTACTGCGTGACTAACGCAGTAATGGCTATTATTGTATATTTTGGCCTTTTTTGGTAATTTAAGTAGACTGTAAATGCTGTTTGTAATGTGTAAATTACTTTCCTTGTTCACTACACTATATTTTTCTATTAGATACATTTTTAAAATTTACATGAAGAATGAGCATGAATCTGGAGGCATGCTGCTTTAATCTGCAGAAATTATTAAATGGACTTTTCCACATTTTATTTAAGGAACAGTCCATTATAAATTATTATAACTAATAATCACATGAAAATGAAAATTGGAAGTTAGCAAACAGTAACGAGGCTGGTCAAACTGCACAACAGTGCAGGCTGGCCTGGCTCTATTCTGGAGGCAAAGACTAATGACTTTCGCTTTCAGCAGGCTAAGAAACAAATCTATACATATCTTTATAAAACCTACTATTACCTCATCTTAATCAGTAGGTTCCAGTTCTGTGATAAGGATGTAACATGCTAAGATCAGTTTGCCGGTGCTCATTTCATATCTTTCGTTCTTTCCTAATTTCAAATCCTGAAACTGAAATATAGGTTTAAAAAATTATTTATTTATAGATTGAAAATTAAGATGTTATCGGAGTGCCACAATCAAAGTCACCAGTTCATAACAAAATACACATTATGTATTAGAAAAAGTTATGATATTTTATAGTATAATTATAATAAGAGATATTTTCATCTCCCTTATTTGTAATACATTCATAATTATCTCCCTTCCTTCGGCACAATCACTAATGTGGTGCCGATATTTTTGACCTATTTGTGAATTAAGTTATTGAATGTATATTTTTTTGTATTTAGATTGTAATACTTTAAGGAAGCGAGTGATCTCGGAAAGAATAGTTCTTTATATTCTGTTCAGTTAATTTTTTTTCTAGAAAAGCAACAATAATTACAAATAGTCATGTTCCATTTAAAATTAACATGCTTTCAAAATACAAAAATTGTACCAAATTAAAAGTTGTCATTATTAATGAACTGTAATCAGTATTTTCTGATTATTTTGTGTAATACAATATGTTGATTAACGCTCAGCCTTCTAGTGCCAAAATAATATACATGTACCCGTGCGACCAGTGCAGACCAAAATCAGTCGGCATATCCTTAACATCTGCTCATGATCTGCACTATTCCATATTAAGTCAGTACATATTTTGAAATTTTTCCTTAAAATGAGTAATGGTTTTGTCCAGATTTGAAGATGGGCAAGTCCATTTAAATTATGTTGCAGAGTTAACGGAATAATCAGCGACTCACAAACCGTTATCTGTAAAATGTATTGTTCTATGTTTAGCTAAAATTTGTATTTCTTCAAAATATCTTACCTCAACCCTCATTTCATATACTGAACGTCAAGTAACTGAGATCACAACATCGAGTAGCAGACACACAGGAAGTCGCAAATTTCCACTTTAAAATTTATTGTCGTCTGCTACCTGTGGATACACTATTGGTAACATGGTCGAAAATAATTGTAACTAAGATTAACACTTAACACTTTGAAGCAAGAAAGAAAACAACACATGAAACTTAGGGTACAAAAATTGTCATAAGCTGTAACATATATGTATTTTCTGGAAACAACAACATATTTAGTCAAAATCAGTTTAAACGAGCCAGACGTAGACCATATGTCGGCCATTTTGAAAACAATATGTCATCATTTAAATCGCAGTAATGGTGTTTTATTTCAGTTTTTTTCATGTTTCAGTCAAAATTTCTACATGTTATTTTGCATAATTTTAAATATTAAAAGTATCTTTACATTATACCTCAAAATTTATTTTTTCAACGAACAAGAACATTTAGAAAATGATGATTGTTTCAGACGTATGCACAAATTTAACGGACTATTGTTGCTTTTTGCAAAAGTTTGTAAAATGTTGTTCTGTTTTACGTAAAAATCTATAGATTTAAAATATTTTGCACAAACACTTTGTTGTTTAGGTGTTTGAATAAAATATGTCAATTCTGACCAATTTTAACACTGCTCACTTGAAAATATGCACGTGAAATAATTGATGACGCGGAATTAGTGATGTTGAGTATAAATAAAGTTAAAGGTGTTTATATTATGTTCCCCGTTACCCAATCATAATGAATTCTGAGGTAGGAAGTTACACACAAAACATATGCAAAACGAAGTGTTTTACAAGAACAGACGACCAAGTGACTAAAATAGCCCTTACTCGTTTTTCAAACAGTTGGGCTAAAAATGGTTCATTATGAAACATTAGACAATAATGATATGTCAACATAATTATTACATTGACACGAAAGTTTTTTTTCTTCAAAAAGTAAACAAGATATACATTACAAAGTTATGATTTCCTTTTTCAAAACCCTTACCTGCTGAAAAGCGAGTCCAGTAGAGCTAGGCCAGCCTGTAATTTCGGGCAGTCTGATATGGTGCATGATTGCATCTGCGCGACTACTGTCGTCTGCTAGGATTGTTCCCGCCATTTCCTGCTTTACGTCTGCTAAATAATCAATAAACATTTTTAAATATATATATAACATTAATCGAACAATAGTCTGAAATATATAGTGGTAATATTTAGAAATATACAATTTTATCTAGTTTTGTCTTTCAAAAGTAATCCAGTGATGTTTTTTTACGCCATCTGAAAACAAACGAAAAACCAAAGAACAATAATATTATACTAGTCTAAAATGTCGCATTCTGCATCTAAAATAATCAGTATACAGTATATAATTGTTAAAAATGTCACATTCAACACCCAAATATCATTATAAGAAATGTCACGTTCTAAATCTAAAAGAATCAATGTTATCTTTAATATATTGTCACATTCTCCACCTATATATTAATATAATTATTAAAAATATCACATTACTCATATTAAACATCAATATAATTATACAAAATTGGGTATTGTACAGCTTAAATCTCAATATAACTATAAATATGTCTCCAATTTCTAATGGAATTGATATAACTATTTGAAATGATGGATAATAATAATTCGACTAGTATAACAAAATCCAAAATTTTCAAATCGATCTCATTATGTATCAGCAAAAAATCAACTGTCTTATCGACCACCAATTCCCAAACTATTCAGAAATAAGGCATGAATTTTCGACAAAGAAAAACTACCATAACACACAAATGACATTAACAACTCCAACAAGGACAAAGAAAAACTACCATAACACACATAAACAACTCCCACAAAGAGACAAACTAAAACACCGAACCCAAATCGAATAACCCAAATCACACATCAACTCCAAAAATGTGATAAAGAAACCAAAATCGATATAAACAATGCACCCAAAATATCGTCAATATACATATGAAATAAAATCTTCATTTCTACAATAAAATTTTGTAATTCTATGCAATTTCAGTTACTGACATAATACCATATGTAAATCAAATTTCTTATAATGTCAAATTTTCCAAATGTAAATTGAATTAAATAAGTATGCTGTTTTTACGTTGCATAATGTGTGCTGTCCTTGTTCCACAAGCATGGCGCGGTGTAGTATGATTACTTGCAAGTTCATTGGTTCCTTTTGAAATTTCAGCTTCAGAAACTGATAAAACTTACGAAGAAAAGTTAAAACTCATTTGTCTAAAAAGAACTAGTTTCTAAAAAAGCTAGTTTCTATAAATAAATAGATTTACCTGATGATTGCTCACTGCCATGAACAACGCCATTTCATTATCATTGTTACACCCATGGACGTCCTCATCAACATTACCATAAACAACAACATTGTCATCAACATGGCCATCATTTTTACATATCACACGTCAATCATCCGTGTCAATACTTTGTTAGACCTCATATGCCAACTATCAATTATTCATATCAATATTTTGTTTTATATCATAAGCCAATTATCTATGTCAATGTTTTGTTAAAAAATCATATGTTAGCTATTGTATTATCTGGTTTTCAACATGTGACTTTTGAGTATAGAAGGAAATATATAAAATTATTGTTATTACCATCCTTTAAAACAGAAAATAATCAGGAATTGTAGGCCTACAGTAAGTGAATCATCACATGTACATGTACTAATTATTTACAGTAATAAATAATATAGTGCCACTGTTAAAAAAAACACCCAACATATTGTAATTATGCGTTACCATTTATATTTAACTCCTACACTGCTGAAACCAGTAATATGCCCTTTGCTACCACTTTATTATAGAGCCAGGACATCATGCGCATCAGACCACTGGTGTAAGCTTTTGATTTCGAAATCCCTTTAACTTCGAATGGAATGTTCCACTGCAATGCTGGACAAAACCATTACACTAACTCAGTAAAATGGCATTTAGTGACACAGCATTTTATATCAACTTTAAAACAAATAAGTCTTGCCTTTCCAAAACATTTTCAGTATTACGTATACTAGTATATCAGTATATATGCTTCCATGACATGTTGTCGAAAGACATCGCGTCTAATACAACAGTTTGTCGAATGTGACTTTTGGTCGAATACGACAGTTCATCGACTATGAGACTACGGCAACTGATCGAAAGTAACACTACAACAATTGATAGAAATTTAACTTTTATCCTACAACACTTGAAATATCCCACCACATCACACTAAGTATCAGGTGGTCTTGATCAGGCTGGTGAAAATGCCCGATTGGGCTTATGACATTAAAAATCATATTTCTAGAAAAATAATAAAGATATTTCTTTTAAACTTTGTTTGTTTATTGAGCATAATATATGACCAGAAAAGGAAAAATACTTGGTTACTGTAACTTGTGAGAATTATTTCCCCTTTTTCATGTTTATATGACACATAATTTTGTGTCGAAGTCCAAAAGATAAAGATGTCTAATGAACGCTGTGGGTTTAGATACTTGGGACCTGGACAGAGGGTCTGTAAATACACAAATTATGCGCTTTCAAATAATTTTATTAGAAATCAAGAATCGCGGCTCTCGCCATCAAAATCTTTCAAATTAGTGCGCATGCGTAGTGCAGTTAATCAATGAAGTAGAAAGTTAGATAGAGAGGCCCGTAATGGTGGTTAGTATATGATTTATATGGGGATGAATGAAACGTATGATGAAAATTAAAGCTATAGGACATTTAATAGGACAAACAATAACACATATAAACATGTACGTATATGAACCTGTGACATTTGAAGTCCTTAAAAAATATGTTGCCATGTAAAATTCTTAACAGAAATGTGTCCAACATCTTCTTTTTGCTCAAAATTATTGCGCCAGAACCTTTATTCTATATATTTGGATTTAATATTCTGTTTCTGGCATAAATACTTTGACAATTCTTTGACACTGAACATTATACTTTGAAGTTTCCTTTGAAAACTGAATGAAATGTATGCTGACAGGTGTTGGCGCAATGAATTGGATCATAAAGAAGTTATTTAACCAATTTTGCTTTATACTTTGTATATGTAAGGACTTGGAAAATTATGTGTTATATAAATATGAAAAAGGGGAAATAATTCTCACAAAAGTAACAGTTACCAAATATTTTTCTTTCTGTTTATGTTATACATTATGCTCAATAAACAAACAAAGTTTAAAGGAAATCTCTTCATTATTTTTCTAGAAATATGATTTCTTATGTCATAAGCCCGATCGGGCATTTTCACCAGCCTGTTGATTAGATGGCTACAATGGTAAGAAAATTTTATGAATAATGATCATAATGGTCAAAAATACCGTTAACTATGATAGAAACGTCACATGAAAAATTGAAAGTTTAACATGTATAATTCTTATGATTAATTCTAATTTATAATTAAAGTCCTTATTTATGGAAAATTTAACTTGTGTCAAACAAATTGCACCTACGAAAAATATTTGATAATTCACAAATTTTTTGTGACATAATAATCCCGGATTTTCTGTGAAATATTTACATTTTTTCCTTTAAAAAAACAGTAACGCTTTCCCGATTTTCATGTGTAATAATATTACGTTTCGGCTATATAGTTTTAATAAAATATAAAATAACTTACATTTTGATTGATACTTAGTTCTTCGACGTCCTAAAATAAAAGGAACAATTCCAAACCTCCCATACTTTCGTTTCCGTCACATCCCTTTCACAAACTTCACGCAAATGTAGCTAATAGTAAAGTGCATGGAAAATCACTCGACCATGAATCTTGAGCTCTTGTATGTTTAACCACTGATTGATTCTCACCAAAAAAATTACTAAACAAATCCGTTAAAGACGCCAGCAAAACATTTTCCGAACTCTTTTCAGTCACACGATTTAATTGCTATGTATTTATATGAAACTATTGTTCCCCGCCTGGATTATTCGGAACGAACAAAAAGTTAACGTGGTTGGCACATCATCACGTGACATGCGCGAACCAGTTTTTATTCGTCATTCGAGCATTAAAACGCAAGAACAATTGGAAGTGGTATCAAAATGAAATATTGAAAGAAGCTGGGACCATAAAGTTAAAAACGGTTTATAATAT